TGTGTCTGTGTGTGCGTCTGCGTCTGCCTGTGCCTGTGCCTGCGCCTGCGCGTCGTGCGTCTGTGTGTGTGTGCGCGTGCGCGTGCGTCTGCGTCTGCGTGTGCCTGTGCCTGTGTCTGTGTCTGTTTCTGTGTCTGTGTGTGCGTGTGCGTGTGTGTGTAGGTGGTGTCTCAGAGGATCAGCTCGGTGGATCTGTCCTGCTGTAGTCTGGAGAAGCTGCCGTCTAATCTGCTGTACAGTCAGGATCTGACGCACCTCAACCTCAAGCACAACTTCCTTCCTGCTGACCAGACGCTGCTGCAGCTGCAGAGGTCAGTGTGCGCTCACTCCAGCTCCTCGTCGCTCGGCCCGATCCTCAAGGGCTCCTGTGTGGAGTCTGTGTCAGTGCTGAGGCTGTTAGCATTCTCTCCTGATCTCCTTCGCTGTTATCAAATGATATTTCATCAGATACACACAGAAACAATAAAAACGAAAGGAATTGTTTGTTCATTACATTTAAAAAGATTGTTAAATTGTTAAATGTTTATGCATTCGTTTGATTCCCAACATTTTTGATAATAAATTTCTATCAAATCATAAAACACGGACAATTTCTGAAAAAAAAAACATATTTCATAGGGCACTATCAGTTAGAAATTTTTGTTAATTCAATTGATTAGACATCCTTTTAATTATTAAAATGTAATTACACCATTACAACAGAATCCAGACGAATTTAAATGGAAAACTTGCAATTTTGTAAATAAATGCATAAACATAAAAATGTAAAAAAATAATAATAATAATTTGAGAAAAAATAAACTGCCCAGATTTTTAAACGAGAATGTCATCATGGAAATTTTAGACATTATAGGAATAGTAAAACAGTAAAAATACAGAAAATATTTGATTAAATTAACTAAATTAAATACATATTTAATGGTGGAGATGTTAAGATAAGCTGTCAAACATTACGCAGACATTTCAGCCTGACAAATGTGTATTATTTTCATTTCATATTAGTCCAGGATAAGTCGCGCACATTTCACAAAGCTAAAAATGAAATCAGTCTGGTCTCATGTAAGAGTGCTGGCACTGTTTCAGAATAATATATAATAATACTTCTGTAGTGAGTGATTTACAGCGGCTCAGCCAATCAGCTGTGTGTTTGATGATGTGTAATAAACTCTGAAGGACGTCATCTTCTCTCTGCAGATTCTCCCGCCTGCGGAGCCTCAATCTCTCTCATAATCAGCTGCGGAGTTTCCCGCTGCACATCTGCTCCATCAGCACACTGACGGAGGTCAACCTCAGCTGCAACCTCCTGACCTCCATCCACCCCGACCTGGCCAACATGAGCCAGTGAGTGTCACATGATCACGCCTCGTCCAATCACAGCGCTGGTCTTACAGTCGATGCTTCAGCAGAACTAATCTCTCAGATGCTACAGAATTATTGTGTGGAACGCCTCTGCAATGACTTTCCTTTTTTACTGTTATGAATAATATTAACCAATAATAGTTAAACATCTAACATTCACAGTCCAGTGACAGTTTTTGTTTCAAATACAAAAACTTATATAATTATAAACATACGCTACTGAGTTTTAGATCAGTAAGATTGTTAATGTTTGAAAGAGTCTCTTCTGCTCACCAAGTCTGCATTTATTTGATCCAAAAAACTGCAAAAACAGTGGCATTGTGAAAAAGTTTTACAATTTCTGATTATGTTGAAATGTTGAAAACAGTTGTGTAATTTTTCTTCATTTAAAATAAAGATAGAAATCCTTTGTAACATCATGCGCTACCATTCAAAAGATTGGGTAAGAATTTTTATTTTTTTGGAAAGAAATTAAAGAAATTAATGCTTTATTCATCAAGGACGCATTAAATCGATCAAACGTGACAGTAAAGATGTTTATAATGTCACAAAAGATTTCTATTTCAAATAAATGCTGTTCTTTTGAACTTTCTGTTCATCTGTGAATCCTGAAAAATAAAATGTATCACAATTTCCACAAAAATATTGTGCAGCACAACTGTTTTCAACATTGATAATAATCAGAAATGTTTCTTGAGCAGCAAATCAGCATATTAGAATGATTTCTGAAGATCATGTGACACTGAAGACTGGAGTAATGATGCTGAAAATACAGCTGTGATCACAGAAATAAATTACAGTTTAATAGATATTCACATAGAAAAATGCTATTTTAAACTGTAATAATATTTCACTATTTTTACTTTATTTTGGATCAAATAGATGCAGCCTCGGTTAGCAGAAGAGACTTGTTTTAAAAACATTAAGACACATTACTGATCTAAAACTTTTGAATGGTAGTGTGTGTGTATATATATATATATAAAATTTAAAAATAAATAAATAATCTTCATAATTTCAAATATTACAAAGTTATTACTGTACATCTTAAAACTTGCTCTGAAATTGAAAAATTTTAAACAAATTTTTGATTTATATAATGATTTATATATATACAGTATATGTATTTTTTTTTTGTTTATTTGTTTTCAGTTAATGTTTGAGGTGAACCAAGGATATTGTATGAACATATAACCAAATATGTCAGTGATATATAGAAAGAAAAATAAATATTGTACTTCTTCAACAGCTGCATAGTTCATATTGCTTTCAAGTTTTTACTTTTACATATTGTTTCCAAATACATTCTAATGCCAGTTTTAAAATGTTCAAACGAAGTAATTTTTTCAAACCATTTGACTTGACTATAATCACAGCTATGCTATATTTTTATCCCCATCTAAAGAGAAGCAGCTTGCACAGCAGTCACATCAGGTGTGTGAGACGCTCATGTGACTCTCGCTGCACTGCTGCCACCTGCTGGACAGTTCACACCGCTTCACTGCAGTAACACTAAAGCAGAAGCAGTGCAGTCTGTGGTGACAGTGGTGGTGTTGATGTGTGTCAGTCTGCAGACGCTGGTTCTGGACGGGAACCTGCTGTCTGCTCTCCCAGTGGAGCTGGGTCGTCTGCAGCGGCTGGTCTATCTGGGTCTGTCCTTCAATGAGTTCACACAGGTGCCGTCGGTGCTGGAGCAGCTGCCCGCTGTCGAGAGGCTCTGCATGGCTGGGAATAAAGTGTGTGTGCTGACGCTGCAGGCCTTCCATCTGCTGACGCTCAAACACATCGACCTGCGGTGAGAACACACACACACTCTCTCACACACACACACACACACACTCTT